GGGGGAACCTTCCCCCCCCCCCCCCCCCCGTAATTGTTTTTTCTTTATTGTTGTTGATAGGTGTCAGATATGTCAGTCTGATCTCTATGTAATGTGTTAATGCATGTTCTTTGTGGTATTTTATTACCTTTCCTATTTTCATTGCTATTATTTTTGTTTCTATATTCTGAAGATTTATTCCTCCTTCTATTTTAGTCTGTATTAACCTTGAGTGCTTTATGCTCCCTATCGTGTTTTTGAAAATAAATTTCCGTATATTTGGTTTATAGTTCTTGGAAGTGTCTGGAGGTATGTTAAAAATGTTACCTACTTAGACCAACCTTGGTATGATCCCAGTGTTGACAAGTGTGTAAGGGCTAAATAATATCTTTGTTGAGTACCGGTACTGGAATTCTCGGATTAGTTTGTTGGAAATTTTTATATTTTTTCCCTGTTTCTTTCTTTGTGTCTCCCATGGATTATTTGTGAAGATTAATCTTTAGAACAGAATTTTTTTTTTTTACCTGTTGTTAGATTGAGGCGATAATCTACTTTGCGAGTTTCCCCAATTCCATAATGTTGGATTTACTTTTGATCCATTACGTAGGACAATTTCTTCAAAGGTTTCCATTATTTGTTTCATTGATTGTTATGTGGGACGAGGATTATGTCATTGGTGTTCGCTTACAGTTTTCCTTTTTCTCTGTTTCGTATGTTGATTACTTTGTTTTCCTAATCCTCTGTAATGAACAAATAGGGTGAGGGAGGGCATCCATCCATGTCTTACCAATCTCTGTATTTCTATTCCTTCTGATAATGTATTGTTTATTAATAGTTCACCGATTGTATTTTTAAATAGTATTTAAAGTCATCAGATACAATAATTGATATAAAATATAGGCCACATCTATCACTAGAAGATTTTTCACCTCATACAGTGATATGGCCCGCCTTACATTTTGAGTTGTTTAGGCCTGCTTTATAGTATAGTATTGTATAGGCTTATATTCTATTTTAATTGATTTGCAGATAAACCTAAAGCCTTCTTGATTGAAACATTGGAGCAACTAAAGAAATCTCGTTCAACAAAAACACAGTATCCATGTTTGTTTGATGAATCCAACATACGTTCTGTCTTTGGCATGCTGGATCCCACTGGGAGAGGATATATTACACTTAAACAATATAAAGAAGGTGAGAATAGTTTATTTATTAGAAATTATTATGTTCATGTATTTTTTTTTTAATCAGAAAAAATATAGGCTTAAAGCTTAAATTTTATTTAGCAGAGACTGAGTGTAAAACCTCAGCTTTAATTTCAATGAAGTTGCTTTTTTAAAATCTAATACATTGAAATGGAACATAATAAACTTGGTTTTAGAATAACATTTGTGTTTCATGTTTGATTGATATTTACCATGTAATAGGAATAAATTCTTTAAAACTTATCTTAATTCTTCATTCAGAAGTTTATTTGCTTAAGACTCTAATATTTAAAAAATTTTATTTGCAAATGTTTAAGCAATGATAACACTTGGTGCTAGAGATTTTGAAGCTAACCCTATGGGATCTGAAAATGACAAAATAAATTTGGATACATTTCTACGGGAAGCGTAAGTTTTTTTTATGCTCTAGGATTATATATTTAAAAGCTTAATCACTACTTCTATTTTTTATTTATTCCAGTTATGTAAATTTATTTTTTTATTTATATACATGAATTTTTTTAGTACTCTGGTTGAAGACAAAGTTTATGTTTGTTTTTAAGTATATCTCTGCTCTCTGACATTGACTCATTTTTAATTATTTTCAGAATCCTTGGTCTAGAAAAAGCATCAGCAACATTTGATTGAACTACTAATTGAATATGCTGTTTTGATATTTTATTAAGCAAAGGAGTTTTTTACCTGTTTACGTTTAGTAACATATTAAGAGGAAGTGTGTTTTAAGCCAGGGTTCTAACTCTGTGAAGTCTTTGTCATAATTAGAGAACATGCAAAATGTATGTAGGTTTTTTCCACCAATTTAAAAATTCCAATGGGGACATTGAAGAAGTTGGGTTTGAAATCTAAAATCCATGTTTTTAACCTAAGTAAATTATAATAATTACCAGTACATAGGGTAAATAATGATTTCAATTTGGTTTTTTAATTCTCGTGCATAAGAAAAAGAGCTGGGCAATCTTAAGAACCAATGATTCTTTTAACTTATGTTTACTAAATGTATTATTTGTTAATAAATTGTTTATCTGAACTTGAAATTCAGTTTTGTTCAAAATTTTGTTTTTCCCAGCAGGATAAAATAACAAATTATAATCAAAATACTGGTATAACGAAAATTTAATACAGGGAGTGTTAATTTATTTTTTTTTAAGTTAAAAAATTCCATTAATAAAATTATCTAAAAATAAAAATAACATTGTAGTTGTAGTGAATAGTGACAAGCCCATTATATAAATTTGGTATGAAAGTTTGAAAGAAAGGTGATGACATGTATATTATGCAGAAGGAATCTGTTTATTTGCTAAGTACCGTATTATATTAGGTGAATGAAAACAAGATTTTTAATGAATGTGTCTAATTGGGCATAAAGATGTATTCAAATGCACACATTGCACTCGTGTTACGTATAAACAGAGAAAGCACCCACCTTTAGGAACAAATTTATGGGAGCTGGCATATTTTTGTTTAAATCTAGCCTTAGCAACTACAATAAAAAGTCTATAGCCTGTGCTGAATGCAAACAATGAATGAATCTATATTAAAAGCTTACAAATATATTAGAGAACAAGTGAATGCACAAGGTTGCTATGTTATACTGAAAATATATGGATGGAGTACGGGACAGGTTTTGGATGTATATTTTGTTAAAGTCTATTCATGTTTTATTTCTAGTGCCATTATTCACACCGCATCACCCCAACTTAATGCAACATTGTGTATTGTACTTAAATGTATGGTTTAATGTCATTTAACATGGGGAACTTAATATAATATGAGAATGAAACTGACTGCTTCATATATTTGATGTTTTCTTGATATTCCCCTATATAATGTACCATATTGGCACTTCCTGAATATTTTCCTGATGGAAACAAGCACTTGTTATGGTCAGCGCCTCTCAGCAATAAAAATAAAAAATCATTTCAGATTTAAGTTTTACCTCTTTTCTTTAACTTTAATACAAAAAAGGGGGGGAAATATATATTAAATTTAAATATTTTCTTATTAAACATTATAATAATAATAAAAAAGTTTATTTAAAAAACACGCTTCATCCCCAAAGGCTCGAAGCGCGGTACAAAGTCAACCAAAAAATACAACCTATAATTTACCACATTTAAAACAAACGCAACATTACAAAACTAATTACAAGCACACCAAGTCAAAGTCATTCTACTTCTACCCATTTCAACCTTTAGCAACACACCCAATACGCATTAACTGGAAAATATGGTAGACAATCATCCCAGAAGGTGTTTGCGAAATAGATGTGTCTTTAAATCGGTTAAAGGACTGCAGTGTCTGGTTGTTTCTGAGAGCGACAGGAAGGGCGTTCCAAATTGTTGGGCCAGCAAATGCGAAAGTGCGGTTTCCGTAAGTCTCAAGGCGAACACGTGGTGTCGAGAGTTTGCCACTATCGGATGAGCGGAGTTGTCTAGTGGGTACATAAGGCGTCAGAAGCTCTTTCAGATAGGACGGCGCCAGGTCATATAAGCAGCGGCAGCACAAAGTTGCAATTTTGTACTCTATGCGAGCACGGACCGACAGCCAGTGCAATTCTCTCAAAAGTGTTTTAGCATGGTCGAACTTGCGTTTGTGAAGAACAATGCGAGCCGCATTATTCTGTGCTATTTGAATTTTAAGTTGACCAAATAATTTAAATAAGCTCATCTGTTGGAAAATAACCATGTAGGACATTTAATTATTTTTTCCTCTCTCCAGTCAACAAATTCAATTAGATTAGTATTAGGGACATTATTATGCTACTGACATTTATAATTGGGTCAGAATTGATATAAATGTTTGTTACTTTTGTGTTCCATTTTTGGCTCTCACAAAAATAAGGCTCTGGTAATGCACAGGATGCATCCCAACATATTTAAATAAATTAATAAAATTGAATTTTCTGCAAGAATAAAGTACGTCCAAAATTGGAATTCACACTTCTTTTTTTAAAAAAATATTATAAATAGAACAATTAATACATCATTTTAAAGTTATCATATTTCATGAATTTATTCATAATCGTTAGTTTTTTAAAACATTAATGGCTTTTCGCTTCATTGAAATGTAGATAGTTAAGAAGGCATCTTTTACCAAATTATTTGTTATGATATGAAAAACAATGTGTTTCACAGTAAGATGAGTAAAAATTATACACTTCTTCCCTCAAAATTATTTTTTTATGATGATTACGTTGCACTGTTTTCTTTGGATTTTCCAACTAAATAGGCTTGTTATAAGAAAAAGACAAGCTAAATTATGTAAATCACACAAACACAATTCAGCTGGCTGATGGTACTGATACTTTAAAAAATAAAGTTGAGCACTTAAAATAATAATGAATACAACTCTTTACTAAATAAGATCAGTATTTCATATAATAACTATCATTTAATATACAGGTATATATTTAAAATATATTGAAGAGGATACCGTTACAAAAATGGCAACCACTCTAAATTGATACAAACATCAGATCACAGTTAGTACAATTTAGCAGGAATTTTAATGATTAAATCTTATTAACAAATTGCTTAACTGCATCCCATTTTATAAAACAAACTGCGGTATCTTCAACTCTTTTCAAAGCTTCTACCACCTCCTCAAGGGTGAAATCTCTATCATCTTGTACTACTGTTACTCTCTGTCTGTTTCCTTTCATTAACAAACTCATCATCTCTGCACGACTGTCATGTTGATGTTTGATGTATTCCTGTTCAATCTCACCACTAGAAAAACCTAATTGGTGGAATATATTTGGCCAGTTATCATCAAAACACTCAAATAACTTGCAAGTATCAGCTTGGGTTATCTTGTGCCTCTTTTTCACTTCATCAACGGAATCAAACCAGGAGTCTGAAAATGGCATTTAAAATATAACTTTATTTTTTCTGAGTGTAGAAATTTTTTTAAATACAAAATAATTTCAATACTATCAATCAAGCTGCTTTTACTTTGTTTAAAAAAAGAAGTACCGGGTTTATGACAAATAAGATAGATTTAAGAGGAAAAAAAACAGAAGTATTAAGAGTTTAATCTAGAGCAGCGTTTCCCATATGCATGGTCCCAACCTGGTACAGGACCAAAAAAGCAAAAATGCTGGGTCTCAAAAAAATTCATGAAATACTACTGGATGTCAGTGCAGGATTAACTTTTTAGACACCTGATGCAAACAATCGGCCCTCTAATTCTTAAAACTACAAAAAATAAAATAAAGTGATTAGAAGTTTTTTTTTAAACTGATACAGCACTAATAGAATTACACACATTAGCCAAGGAAATATGTAGGAAGAGGGAGAAGTGGGGTGGTAAGCTCAGGCGGCATTTTTTGGTGTTCTCAGAGTAGAGCAATGCAGAAACTAAGTTCAGGTATGCGCCAAATGCATAACAAAACATTTTAGGTTCACTAAACTCCCTCCCTAGATGGCTGATTAACATTAACAAATAGTGCGAACATGACTGACATGATTTTTAAAAATTAATAAATGAAATATACAAAATGTCAATAATTTTTTCATGTCATCTAAATTAAATTTTGTCAGCTTTCAGCAATAAAATCAAACCCAAGAACAACAACGAAAATAAAGAGTAAACTGAAAAAATAACTTTAATAAAGCACTTATGTGTAAACATTCTCTACTGTGTACCCGTTGGACGTGAGCAGACGTAGAAGAAGTTACACGTGAGTATCCAACATAAAAATTACCATGGTTAAAGGCGTACAATGTCTAACAACCAACCAATCTATGCTATTTAATGACTGTCATCCCAACGCAAACTTTCACGGGTAATACCTCTTCTAAAATGAGTTGGGCAGACTGAGGCCATGTCAATCATCCTGGCCATTACTTTGGTTATCTGCAAAATAATTAAACCCAGCTCCCTCTACCCGTCAAATTGACTACTGTATGAGTTTCCAAAGAACCTGACCCTCTTTGCGACAGACCCTTCCAAAAAACACGCCCAATACACTTTTATAGTAAATCTCGAACTTTTATCTCGTGTAAACATATGAAGCTGCCTTTACCTTGCAAGAAGAGATAAATACGTTTAATCATATTTTTTTCCAGCTAACAACTCTTCATTTTCGTTAGGTATTTTCATCATATGAATTTAGTGAACACATGTCATATTCCTGCTTTTTATCAATGACTTGACTTACAACTTGTCCCCTAACATCAATTATCCACACAGCATACCCACAGACACAGAATTATAGTGCCCTGAATAAGCAATACCCATAACTTCCATTTGGCATCAAGGAGATGAGCAGTCATTGGGTTCACCAATATCAATTCATTCATGTATAAAATGAAATTCAAAACCTTAAAAATTTTTTTAAATACCATCAAAAAGAAAACAACATAATTCAAATATTTAAAGAAAATCATTAACTATGATAAATTATTTTGTACCTTTTCAGGTTAAAATATAAAGAACATAATGGTAGTCCAGTATTAATGTTTTGAGATACTGTAAAGCCACACTTTATGGCTCAAAAATGAAGCAGAAAAAATAAGTTCAAACGCATAAAACAAACATCAAAACACAAACAGAAAGTACCCATATGAAATAAACCATGGAATTTTTATGTTTCAGAATTTTATCTTTTCAAACCCCTTAGTTTTAAAGAGGAATCACCATGCAAAATTTTAACTTCATATGGCTTGTTGTTCTTGAGATCTTGTGATCAGTGAGTTAACAGTCAATCAGTCGTATTTAATTGTAAATAGATTTCTAAAAGCTAAAAAAACTAAGTTTAAAATCTTCATCAACAAAGTTTCTCAATTACGGAAATCCAGGCCCCAAAACCTGTCACTAAACAAGGAAAACATTCCAGAGCATAATCATGTTTCAGACTTTGGTCATTTTAGGCTACCCAGTACTTGAAAACTGAAGAGGAATCAACATGGAAAATTTCAACTTTATATTTATAGGGCTGTATGGTGAGTGATTGGTACTTGGCTCTTTTAGATTTCATACATGTATTTAGACTTCATTTCAGGTAACAACATTATAGTTACATGGGGCAGAAAAATAATATGATCCAGTAACAAAAAAACAATTAAACGCCCTTAAGTTATTAAAATATGGAGAAACAAACATTCAGTTTATTCTTGTTGATTTTAATAATGTTTATCTAATGTCACACCCAAGTAAATATAGCAGTCAGTGACCAGATTCTTCAAGAGGTTTATAAACCTACACAACATGGCGGCACTATCTAAAAAAATAGAGACAAAGAAATATATATATATGGAACAGAATCAAGAAGGACTCATATTTCAAAGGCTACACGCACAATGTATCCAAAACAGTAAAACTCAACCTGCATGTCGGAATCATCATCTCAACTGCCATGATTGCCAGTAAGACATGGAAAATGAGATAGATAAAAGTCTAGCCACTGAATGTATTCCTTAAAAGACCCCTGAGAAAGATACTGGTAATGTGCATCAAGTACCCCAATAATGTAATGGAAAACAAATGTTCTTAGAAGAAGCAGAATGCAGCGTGTGGTAACAAGTTAATCTAAGAAAAATGTACCGGTATTTTGCCAAAAACATCCTTCACCTACTACAGCACTGCTGAGCTAAAACCACAAAAAAGGTGGGGGTCACAAAAAGGAAGCAAAGGAGATTTTAACAGAGACATATTAAAGGGGACTGGATTTTAAATCAGTGAATTCACTTATTTGCGAAACCCTACTGGGAACTGTTATAAGCCCCCTCCATATTCTGACAGGTAGTTCGTTGGCTCAAATTGTCTAGGGGTTATCATGCCACACTAAGGTTCTTAGTTATTACAAAACTTCTTCATTCAAGAAGTACATATTCATTCAAGAAGTACATATTAATTATTATACAAAGATCCAAGGAATGGTCGTTAAGCTGTCTGACGATTAACACTCCAGACACTCTCAGAAATAAAATCATTATCCCTCTAAGAGCTGTCAACACTACAGCTCAACAGAACTTAACACACTAACCACTCTAACAAAAACTCAACATATTGACTATGACTCCACTTACTAACCGCCACCCCATTTTCCCACAGCATTTAAACAAATCACTTGTATATTGACCATTAACACTTTGTCCATCCCTCACAAAACTATTCACCAACTCAGGATCAACAACTTTTCCATAAATGATCACGCTCACAAATCTTTTGTTGACCAATGCATAATTGGGAGAAATTAAGACTTTGGATACTTGTAAAGTGTGTTTTTATGTGTGTTAAAATATTGTGTACATACACATAGAGAGGTTTTATAAAAATTATGGGGGATATAATAATGTACATTCCTCCAAGTATGTATATGCTATAAGTAAAAATGTGAATGGCCCATTATGAACTGTAGTATTAGTATGCTTACAATAAGATCTTGAGCTACAATCATCAGTAGGTGTTCTCTCTAATATTGATGCTAATGTTGGATACTTCTCATTTAAAATTTGAAAGAAGCATTTATAGGATTTGCCTGGACCAGATTTAAGAAGAGATGTAAGTAAAAGGTCTGCTCTTTCTGATCTTATCTTGCAGGCATTCATCATCTCCTTGTCATCTCCATCAAAAACATGTTCTTGATATAGAAAGTCCACAAAATCTTTCCCATCTATCTCTCCCTTAAGTAAAACAAAGTTGCTTCTAATTCTCTTCTCATCCTCTGGTTTTAATCTACCGTTTTCCTCTGGCATTTTTATCTGGGAAAAAAAAAAGATAAATGTAAACTATTTTTAAAACATTTTATAAAATACATATGTGCATGTACATAGATTACCGGGTAGCCTACTTTCAGGCAAGATATTTGCAGTGGAGCAACTGAAAGGGTGTGCGAAATGAAATCAATATTGGATTTTTCTGGTAAATAAATGAAGTTGGTTTTGAAACGCATTCGGATCCTGGTCCCTTTAGACTAAATGCTATTCCGATGTCATTTGTGGTAGTTTATTTTAGTTAAACTGAAGAAGTAAGTTTACAGACGTATAGTCCATTCAATTATCTTTCATTTGATACCAAATTTTTTCTTATAAACCCAACAATAATATTTTTAATATTTTTTTAATAAACCCAACCTCTCACTTCTGATACCGGGTCCGAATAGCCGCAGCCTTTAAAATATATCCCATTTCCATACAATAATAGAAAATCACAATCATTGTTTTTAAAAATCGGAATGTATTTAAATTTATTCGTTTTTAAGGCGTTATATGGTCAGTCTAGCTTATATTTATATAAATGTAAGCTGTGTAAAATACATTCATGTACTTTTGTTTTTAACAGTAACTGTGACTAAAATGTCTAGTGGCCTCCTTGCTTTTGTCAATTTTATTAAAACTTAATAATACTTGTCACATGCACAAATATTTAGTGATTTTAATGTTGTAGTATATAGTGTAAGCTGTTGTGTGCACATTGGTCAGTCCTAGGTGTGCCTTTTAAGTTGAACTTTAACTTTAATCAAATTATGGGGTTCAAAACCTGGGGTGGGAGTGGCAGTGTAGAGGATGTGAGAAGACCAAGAAAATTAGTTTAATTTGCATTTTTAAAGGATAATAAATTTAGGCCTGAGAAGGAAATAGTGGAACAAGGTGTGTGGAAGCTTGAAATATGTATGTATGGCACCTTTCCGTCTGCAAGAGACGATAGATTATCTTTATTGCTTGCAGCGCTTCCTCTCCAGTGAAGATAAAGCCTGGGCGAAGTAGTATGGAGATCAGCTGCTGCCCAGACAGCAGATTCCCCCTCTCCACACCATTGGTGTACCCAAGGGATAGACTAGTGTGGATACGGCTTGGCACCATTGGCATCGCAGGAGCTGCCGGAATGGAATTGGTTTCAAAAACAGACCGCCTTAGGAGCTCCATTTCCTGATTTTCTCCTTTAGCCTTTCCTGTGTGGGTATAGCCGCAAGGCAGCGGAGGTTTGGAGTCAGAGTTTCCCTCTATATGAGCTACCGGCCATAGTTTACGAGTCTCATCTACCCGAAGCTACTGGTTTTGAGGCGCCAGTTGACCGCCTTCACCCCTTCTCCTGTTAGTAGAAACATGGTCCGCCAGGCTTTTTTGTGAAGCCGCACGTGAAGCCAGGAGCTTGATTTTGATTGACAGAGGCATTAGTAGACGCAAGCCTTATAGGGCATTTCTAGAGGAGTGGATGCTTATCTTCCACCCCCGCCCTGGCAATGACAACCTTGAAATATAAAGACCGAAAAATAAAAGAAGAACATTTCGGCTTAATGCCTTCTTCAGCAGACAGGACAAATGAAGAAACAAAAAGAAATAGAAAGTAATTCAAAAGTGTTCACCACTAACGTTACTGTCGGAAGTTGGGTTTTCCAAAACCAAGATTACAGGAGGTAAAAGAATTATTACTATGAAAAATAAGAATTTAACACACAAAGATATATTGGAAATATGTAAAATATAAGAAATAAGAAAAGAAATATATGGAAATTGAGGATCACTAGTTTGACAGTATTTAATTGATTCAAAATGGTATAATTGGGCAGAAATCTTAATTAATTTCTTTGCCCTTTTAACTCAAGTCCCTTGGTGTTTATTATCATTGAAATGGGATGACAGGGGAAAGTTTGCCCTGTCACAAAGATGTTCAGTGAACCTATCCGATAATCTTCTTCCAGTTTCACATATATATCAGGAGCAGCATCTAATAATACACGATCGTATAGATCAGCGGTTCTCAACCTGTGGGTCGCGACCCCTTTGGGGGGTCGCACGACCCTTTCACAAGGGTCGCCTATGACCATCTGAAAACACATATACTGCACAGTTGTAAAGTATTGACTAAAATCATTTTGTGGTTGGGGTCACCACAACATGAGGAAATGTATTAAAGGGTCGCAGCATTAGAAAGGTTGAGAACCTCTGGTATAGATCATATTTCGACTAACACATGTGAAGCCCTCTCTGATGGTAAAAGTACCCTTAGAGAGGCTAATTTTCTTGGTTTCAAGTGTATACAAGTCCTACAACTGCTTCTTGAGCATGATGTAGTCCCAACTAGAAGGCGACGGCGAACAACAAGGTCATTTTTAATTGTGGGGTACAAGAAATGTGTTTTAAATGGAGATAGGGTCCAAGAAATGATTTGAAATCAAGAAATTGTGTGGCACTTTTTGTTTATGAAAAGTTAATTAAAGAAATAAAACTATGATAACTAAATTACTTAATGCTTTTAAATTTTATTAGAGAATAATTTATACGGTGGGGGGGGTGTTGTTGTTTAAAACGTACTGGGCCTGCAGCGCTGCAAAAAAGTTTAAGAATCCCTGGCCTGGCGCATTTACTAAGATCCCCCCCCCCCTCCTTCCCCGCGGTCAGCCATTTTGGTTCCATCCCACTTCATGTCCTAATTCAATGACTCCCGGGTCCACATTTAGCCATAAAGTCATTGTAACTACATTCCGATTCTCCTCCTCCTTGGTGTCCTGTAACTTGATCAGAGACCATTTTTCGGACCTCGCATACCTATAGCGCTTCTCTCGGCGATTGTAGTTTAAAAATAAAATAATTATGTTAAATAATGTTAAAAATGTCTGTAATTTAGGGTTAGTAATTACAATTCTGTACTACAAAATAGCCCTTTTGATGTCACTTCACATTCCTTCAGCCCCCCCTCCCCCTCGTCACACATCATCACAAAAATCTGACCCCCCCCCCTCCCCCACCTAGACTGCCTAGATGTGTGACATCATTTAATGATTTATGAATGGCCCTTTACAGTACTTTACTTAAACTTACTAGTTTTAACTTTTATTAAGTAATTAGTAAACTATTAGTATTATGGTATAGTATAAGTGTTAAGTCTTGAATTTATTTTATAATAAATAAGTTTAAGTAGGTTACAGTTCACTTACAGTTTACTTTATTACAGTTTAGTATTTATTTACTCTTATTATTTAGGCTTGTACTTGTAGCTACTATCACAGTCACAGTATCACTCGTAAAGTTAAAGACTGAAGACTGAAGGAGATTACAAGTCCAATCTGTTTCCCAATCTTAATTTACTTAGTTGTAAATTTAGACTTCAAAAGTTTACTAGTAAGTTTAGGTCCCAGGCCAAGCACAAGCCACAACGACAACATGAACTTACATGGACATGACATTACGTGACAATCAATGTCAATGACATGTATTGTATGTACCATGTACAATTTAACTTAACAATTATTTGGCAATAATTCAAATTCAATTATTATCGAATACCAAGGTCAAGGTGTTGTGTGGACGCAATTATTCATTTAATCAGGCTATAACTATAAAAGTTATCAAATATTTTTTTTTTTAATGGATATATTATTATAAAAATTAAAAATAATAGGTCTAATAATATTTACAATTTTGGAAATGGTCTAGGCCTAACGTAGGCTTCGTTTGCTTTAAAAGTAAGCTATTATTATGGCGCCGTGTTCTTTCCCGACACTTTAATTTCTGAACGAAGGCTTTCACTACACAGCCATGAATTGGAGGAGAAAAAATAAACGATATAGTTGAAGTGCCATGTATTATTTTCATTAAAAATAACATTTAAAAAACCTTTAGGCGCCTCTTACTATTCTGGCGTCCATGAAATCTGCCCCCCCCCCCACTTTTAGCTACGCCTCTGCATTTGCGACAAAGATAATATACAGGTAGACAGAGCCCACTTTTTTACCTCGCAAGTCGCAGGCACTTACAGCCATTTGCAGTGCACGGGAAAAAAAATAAAATCTTACATGTTTAACTATAAAAGAATATTATTTTTAAAAACTTCACAATCGTGGAACTTTTTTTACGCCAATTAAAATTTATATTTTTTAAATAATTAATTAGCCTACATGAAGTGGCTACCCATTTTCGTCACAAGGAGTATGAAGTGCGAGATGCGGGCTGCACCGGTTGTCACCATCATAGGCATAGGACCACAAGACGCGTTTTTCCAAGCACAAATAGAGCTGGCAAACAGCCTTTGTACTCATTGCTGAATATAGTCTTGATCATCTTACTTGATAAGTTTCAATCTGCATATCAACCTTGACACGGTTCTGAGACGGCACTCCGTGTCATGAATGATGTTCTTTGTAGTGCTGACCGCGGCGATCAGTGGACCTCAGTGCTGCTTTCGATGTGATTGACCATGAGCTTCTTCTGTCAAAACTTCTGCATGAGGTGGGCATCTCTGGAACTTCACTTCGCTAGTTTACTTCTTATCTGACTGACAAGACCAGCGTATTGTAGTGAATAAAGCATCTTCCATGGACACTTCCCTTACCAGCGGCGAGCCACAGGACTCAGTTTTAGGACCTATCCTATTCTCCATATACAGTAGCCAGCTTAGCAGAATTATTGAAAGTTGTGGTGTATCCCGCAAATTATTTGCAGATGACACCAGAACTGTGCAGGTGTTTCCGTCCTGAACCTTTGGGCTGTGCTGCTGTTGTGCAAGCTGTTGAGGACTGCTGTCTTGGAGCGAATCCAACGTAACGCAGTGCGCTTTATTGCCCGTGACCACGAATCCACCACTCCTGGCTTCGTCACTGGCCTCTTAAAAATATTTGACATCCCCTCCCTTAAAGACAAACGAGAAAAGCTCCTATATAAAGTGGTCATAAGGGTAGTGCTGGCCAGGCCACGTATCTCACCCCACAGAAGCCAAGTCACTTAATCAGAGCCAAACGCTCACTAAACACTGACTTCTCCTCTAACAACCCGTTAGGAAATTACATCCGGAACAATAGTAAATGCTTCACTGTGCCTCGGTGTAACACAGTCCAATATAAAAAATCATTTTTCCCACGAACAATCATCGCTTGGAACCACCTGGACAATACCGCTGTAAACTCGACGTCAATCGAGAGTTTCAAAACTGCCCTAGCATCCGCTAGGAGCCGTTACAACACCAGCATCGCACCCCCAACCGTTGCACATATGCCAGTACATAGATTCAACAACGTACCCTACCAGAACCAGAAATCATGAATGGCGTAAAACAGACTTAAATTAAATGACGATAAGACAGAGGCTTCTCTGTGGTTCTGATGCCTATATTCGGAACGTTGCTATCGCATCGATACAAAATGGGGCTTCTGAGATCCCCTTGTCCAACACTGTTAGAGACATTGGGTTTTACATTGACAGAAAACTTACTATGATCTCTCCTATTCGTTCTGTGGTCAGGGCTTGTTTCTGTAATCTTCGCGCTCTGGGACAGCTGGATCCTCAGCTAAATAAGAGAACAGCCAATGCCGCAGCAGTCACTCTAATCAATCAAGATTAGATTACTGTAACAGTTGTTACAGTGGGGTTTACCTCAAAACCAAATTCAGAGACTCCAGAAGGTACAAATTACTGCAGCACGCGTTGTCTCCCGTATAAGGTATAAAGAAAACTAACCACATCAACCCAGGTCTTAAGATCTCCACTGGCTTCCTGTGAGTGAGCGCATTGACCACAAAATACTGCCCCTGGTGCATAGTTGTTGTATAAGGCTCTGCACCTGTATATCTTCAAAAACTGATTTCTATGTAAACATGTATCCGTAAAGAGCCTGCTCTCGTCAACACAGTCCTTACTTAGAGTTCCCAGTTTGGATGGACACAGAAAGAAATCATGCGGAGTGCGCACTTTTGAAGATATTGCGCATAAATTGTGGAACATTTTGCCGCAATCTTTGAGGAAAATAAAATAATGATAAAATCACATTTAAGAAACATTTAAAGACTTTTTTCTTTAAATAGATTTTAGGACATCATAGCGCTGTGAGCATGCTAAAATAAAACAGGTGCTATAAAAGTACTCAATCACACAATCATAATATTCGCATAGGACGAACAATAAAACATAACAAAACATGAAAAATGACGTCACGCTATTTTCCCCGATTTTCCCCCCTCCCTCATTGCCACAAATGTGGTAACAAAAATAGACGCATTTATCACACATCATCACAAGTTTAATCTTATTTTTAATCAAATTGCTTTTTTTTCGTTTTTATTATTTAATCCAACAACTGTGTAAACGAACAAGCAGCAGATAAATGATGTGTATTGGTACTACTTACTTAGGGGGCGTCTATTAATTATGTCAACAAAATAGGGGGATGGGGGTGGAAATGTTTGACAATTGTTGACAAGGGGAGGGTGGGTAGATTAATTGACGTCAAAATTCATTTTTTTTCCTATTAAAATTTTAATCTTAAAAATTGACTGGTTATTAAATTATTTTAACATTTTTATCAAGTGAAAATATTCATATATATAATTTTTAATCTTTTAACAATATATATTTTTTCTGGGTGATGCTCGCTGTTGTTCGGCTTCATATAGTAGGTATGACTGCGTTAACTGCTTCGATATTTGCTTTGAAAATTCTGACTTTGTTTGCATAGTCAGCTCCTTTGACTCCCATATTTTCTTCAAATGCTGACCTAGCCTTTCCAATTCTGGCCCTGACATTAGCTTCGGTCCACCATTTATGTCAATGGTGCTGCCCAAGTAGGTGAATGCCTCCATTTCTTCCAGTGCATTCCCTGCCAAGGTGATAAGTTCTTGGTTAGTTGAGTTTATCTACGTGGTCTTTGTCTTGCTTTTATTATTACCGAGTCTGAGCTGTGCTGAAATGGTGGCTACATCTTTCGTCTTTCCTGCATTAGTTGCTGGTTGTGGGACAGAAGTGCAATGTTATTTGCAAAGTCTAGATAATTTCAGTTGTTCCCATGGTGTCCACTGTATCCCGTTCCTCTTTTGTCTGTTGATTTTTCACTATCCAGTAAATGATAAATGACAAGGATGAATTGGAAAGAGGACAAAAGACATCATTGTTTGACTCCTTTTCCCACTTCATAAGAACTCTAAAAGATCCTTACTAGTTTTTCTGGAACTCCATAATGCCGGAGAAGTTATCAAAGGCCTTTACGCATAAGAAAAAATTAGATATAAGGGTGGTTTTTGTCTGGTTTTAGCGCCCTCTCCTATTTCTTCTGTTTTAGGTAGGATATGTATATTGATATTATGTAAATTTAATTTATACTTATTTAAATGTGTTTTGTTTGTTTGTACTGATGAAGGCATATGCCAAAACGTTTACTTGTGTATAATGTATTATTATTATTAAAGCTTCCTTATATTGTTATATTGACACAATTTTTTCGTGTCTTATTAATCTATTTTAAAGCTTTATTGCAGTCCAACACTTTTTATAATTAGTTAATTACACTTTTTATAAATAGATATAAGGGCGGGTGGGTGGGGAGTTTAATTCGATGGACTATTCTACAATGTTGCCTAGTGTTGCAATTTGATCTATGCTTGATCTGTTTCAGCGGAAGCCAGCCTGTTGATCTTGTGTAGATGCGTGTCGAGCTGTTCCTTCATTCTTTTCAGAATAATTCTGTTAAAGACATTTCCATGTAATGGCAGCAGTGTAATCCCTCTGTAGTTTGCACACATGTTGACTTTTGCATCTATATCTGCTCTCATCATCTCTGTTGTGATGTTATCCGGTCAGGGTGCTTACCCAATTTTAATCTGCTTGATAGCTATGACTACTTCTTCCTTATTTGGGACAATGTCTTCTATTTGTAAATCTTCATTTGTTGGTTGTGTATCTGGTGTGTCTGTGGGTGAAGGTCTGTTTAGTAATTCCTCAAAGTATGCTGATTTTCCTGTTTCATGCATGGTTCTAACACTCCACGACTCTATGCTTATTGCCTTTGAAAGGAGGGCCCTCGGATTTGAGTCTTTCTAGTAGAATGTGCAGATGACGTTTCTGTAGTAATTTTTTGTTACAGTTACAGGTGAGGTAAGTGGCCTCACATCAATCCTCCCCCAATTGTACTTATATTAATATTACGTGCATAACTAGACCTATTATTTTTATAATGAGATGTATATTAATGCTAGGAGCTTTTCCGGGTGTGTACGGGATAAGGGGCTGTCCATTAATTATGTCAACAAATTTTTGGCGAATTTTACCTCCCCCCTCCCCCTTGTCAACAACTTGTCAAACTTCCGGAGACCCCCCTATAAAATTACGTCGACATTTGATTACCCCCCCCCCCACCAAATTAAAACAACAATATTTTAAATAGACTAGTTTACAAATACAACAAAGGAGTGAATAAAAGTAAAATGTTTATAAAAAAAAGTTTAATAAACTTTTAACTTATGAACATATTTCCAATGTATAACTACAAAGGCTTACTCTAAACAGAAAAGAGATTATAGTATAGGGTTTACAAAAATGTATACATATTACACCTTTAAATTATGAACATATTTCAAATTAATATAGATTTAATACTTTAAAGACTATTTGAATATTTGCAATGACTTGTTCTAACTTTAAGCAGAAACGAGATTAAAAAGTTAAATTACAAATACACTTTTAATTTATTAACATATTTTTTTTTACAAACAAATCCAAATCTTATATCCTAGCCTCTATATCTTCCCATGGAGATGTCAAATGTTCCTCAATTGTTATTATTGGCATAGGTTCATAGGCATATTATAGGTGTGTGCGTATTTATTTCTGTGTGGTGTCTTTTTAAAGCACAGCACGGTTTTTAAAAAGTAGGAATATAGTTAGTTCAGTTAAAATCCTGAAGGTTGGGCGAGTGTGTAACACAGGACTACAAACGCTGCCTAATTTTCCTTTGATAAGTGATTAAACTTATTTAAAAAAGTAACATTGTTGACGTCAACTTTTCTTGACCCCCCCTCCCCCTTGTCAACATTCAACCATTTTCAGACCCCCCCCCCCCCATTTAGTTGACATAATTAATGGACAGCCCCTAAGTAGCCAGGATCTTTTAAAAGAAAAAACCAATCTGCAAAGATTGTCATGATAAAATGAGGGGTAGGGTCAATTTTAAAAAAAACCCACTAACCTTGATAGTTGATAGCGATTAAAACTCACGCACACAGAATTTTTAAAAACAAAAAATGCTTTGGCCCTTATAAAACAGTGTGACGTTCATTTTACAATAGATTTATAATTACTGTTTACGCAGCCACGTTAATAATGCAAGATAGAAATAAGAATAGCTGATTAGCAGAGTTGTCATTATGGCTTGATCTAAAATCTTAGCACATGAAACTGAAACAATTGGAGAGCAACTTTCACTATTCTCAGTAAAAGACCATGCAAAATATTATTCTGACATTACCAATTATTACCATAGTTCTTAAAATCAGGTAGGGTTTCAGGATAAGCTTATAGTTATAGCCCCAAGGGGGCAGTGGCAAAGAGAAATGGGTTGGGATCAACTGATGAATAGCCTATATTTTGAAGGACAAGCATTTTATTTTATCTCTATCCATCCAACCCTGTGGCGCTACAGCCCATGTAGGGCTTTGGCCTGCCTCACCACTTCCTTCCACTCAGACCTAACTAATGCCTTTCTTTTTCATGGTTGGACTTTCAACTGTTGTAGATCTTTTTCCACATCATCTATCCACCTAAGCCTTTTTCCTCTGGGGTATTGGTGATGCACCCTCTTCGTTCCTCTGTCATTCGGCATTCTCTATTCTCTCTGCCTCTTTTTATTTCTGCTACTATCGAGGGATCCTGATATAGACTTTATAATTCATGTTTGGTTCGTATTCTCCATCCATATTCATCCTTTGTTGGCCCATATATTTTCCTGAGAACTTTCCTCTCCCATTTGTTTAATAATAGGTTTTCTGTTGTTTTTGTTAGGGTCCAAGTTTTACTTCCGAATAATACAAGTGGTCTAATTACAGTTTTATAAATAGTTTTCTTTGTTTCTCTTGTAATGTTTTTGCTTTTGAGTATTTTCTGACTACTGAAGTATGCCCTGTTTCCAGCTGATATTCTTTCTTTTATTTCTGTTAGTAATTCGTTTCTTTCATTTAAAAAGGATCCTAGGTATTTGAATTGATTCACTTTTTCAAAAGTCTGGTTTCTAATTTTAATTGCTTCATCTGTTTGTTCTTCTCTTATCATGGTCATTTATTTTGTTTTTTGGTTGTTAACTTCCAGCCCTGCTTGTAGAGATGTGTCTTCTAATTCAATAAAGGATTTTGATAACTTTAATACTTTTCCCTAGAAGTGCTATGTCATCATATGCAAGATACTGAAGTGGTTGGTTGTACAGTGTGCCCATTGGTTGTGGGTCTTGAGTTTCCCTCAGAAAGTATACTGTTATGTTCGTCGAGTGTTAATGTGTATGTTTTTTTTATTTTATCTACTATCTGAATATCAATAAAAATATATTGAATGTTAATCGTTGGATACAAGAGTTACAGGTTAATTTGATTAAATGTTAAAGGTTTTATGACGTTGTGATAATTGTGCTATTGGTATAACTGAAATAAGACTGTAAGCAGATGAATTTGCAGTAGAACCAACCTATGACCCCAACAGTGACAATTACATGATGTTTATTTTACTCTATTTCTCTACTAAATATTTTCAGAAGTACCGGTAGCAGATATAAAGAGATGATAAAGTAGAAAATGCCTTTAGAATGCAAACAATAAATTTAATCTTCATTAAAGTCATGTTAGGTTTATTCTGAGGGCACAGGTAAAGAAAAAAAAAACAACACATCCAATCATCCAATAACATTCTAAGTTTCATTACAATGATTATGGGTGATTCATGTTATATTAAAAATAAAGCATCAGAAAATGAGTGTAGTAACAAACAATGTGTACATCATATTAAATTAAATTGCAAAAACTAACAAGCATCACACTGATCATTTTAAACTTATAGATTACAAATTTATATAATTATAAGTATTACTTAAATAAAGCAAAAACTTAATATGAGAAATAACAAAATGGATCTTTATATTAAACTCTAAGGCAGAATACATATTGATTTTTTTTGAATGCAAATAAAGGATTTTAGACAAGATGTTTGTTCTTTTTTTTCTTCTTTCTTTTATTGAAAAAAACAACAACATTTTTATGGCACTTATAACACATATTTTTATCAGATAACATGTTTTAAAATAACATTGTTTAAAAAAAAATACTTTGTACTTAAAATAATTTGTTAAACTCGCACATCTAATATTCTGCTTTATAATAGCAAATATGTATCACACATCATAGCTTATGCCATGGCACTGTTTATAATTAAAAATAAAATTAAATGATAAAATGTCAGTAATAAATTTTCATTAAAATAATGCATACATTTTAAATACAAAGTGTAAAATTCAAAGTTAATTTTATATTTCATCTACTGCTAGATTGCTCAACAGCTTTGACGTCTGTTGAAGCTGTAGATTTATATGCTTCATATTCAGACATAATAATTTTTCTTAATCCAACATTATCAATGCTGACCTCAAACACCGCCTTTAGACTTATAATAAAGGCCTCATAGGTTGCACGTGATGAAAGACGCTGGTGCCATTTTATAAGCAGTCCTGTGATCGCGCGGCGTCCATTATGGCCACAATTTTGCATTTCAATTTCAATCACAGGTTGCTTATGGCCTAAGATGAGCATTAAACTTTCCCAATTTTTTCCAAAACATGTGGCCAGACGGCTTAGAGCAGCATCTGTAGTCTCAGATTTCTTAAAACTATCTGGAAGTTTATCAAACCAATCATCTATGGATAGATAAAAAAAATATAAATATTTATAAATAAATATATTAAAATGATAAATAAAATATCATACTTATTATTATTTTCTAAATCATTCTGCACTAAGATCATGATATTTTTTATTTGTAAATATATGTCAAACTTAAAATTCTTTATCAAAGAAATTACAAAAGAGTTTCAGTCAAAGTGTTTGATAATGAACTTAGTTCAAGTATCGTAGTACAACAATAAATGAGCCTAAGTGGTTTTTAATATTTATAGAAGAGGAAAATTTTTTAACAAACATATTTTCCATTTAAATGAGAAAAAAAAAACTTACTAACATAGTTCTTCCTCTCTGGCTTCATTAAGGTCTTGCATAGGTGTATCTTTTAAGACTTTAGCTACATGATTGTACTGTTCCTCCAATGCATCATAAAACACTTGATAGGCTGCTCCAGGCCCTGCATTTAGCAATATCGTCAACAGCTTTTCAGTTCTCTGACTTCTGGTTATTTGACTATCAATCTCTTCTTTATCATCTAAAGAAATGACATTTCTTTGATATAAATGATCAACTATGTGTTTTCCATCAATTTCTTCCTTCAAGTAAACGAAATTTTGTCGAATTCTTCGCTCATCTTCAGCCTTTAACTTTCCTTTCATCACTTTAGACATGCTTCCTTTAAAACAAAAAAAAAAATTAAAATATTAAAAAGATTTCGAGAAAATTGAATTAGGTGTCAGTTAATTATGGTAAGTTAATAGTTAAAAGTATCAGGCATGTATGATACCAATTTTTTCAAAACCAATTATTACAAAGATATGATGTTCAAACGGAAGTTTATTCCAACAGAGGATTGTTTGAACAGAAATAATGGTAAAAATACTGATAAAAATAAATATTATTAAAAAGTTTAAATTTCCCACATTTATTACTCACACCTTCCCTTAAAAAAACTTTTTAAACAAAAATCTCAGTTTAAAAAATTTTGTTCCCAACAAACTTCTGTTCAAACTAACTTCCATTCAAACAACATCCCTGCAATAAAATACAAGTGACAAGTGTATTCAGACAATTAGATGGCAATATTTGGTGTTTATAGTGAATTTTAATAAAGAATTTGAAATTATTATGTTTTTATTATTTGCTGTCATCCTGAGCTTGATGTTTTTTTAAAAACAAAACCTCGATGTTGGAATTCAATTTTTGGTCTTGGTAAATTTGCATAGTTATTATAATAGTAAGGTATGAGTATTTGACACCATTTTGAGCACCACTCGTATTTACATGCTATCCTGTGACATTAGCCACAAATTGTTAAAAAAATATTGAATATATTTAGGGATATATTTAGTTGGGGGTTAAAATCTACAAACTGAGCACTTAAAATTCTGAAAAGGCGTAAAAATTATTGGAAATAAATAGTAAATATAAACAAATGAAAACCCAACTTACAGTTTTCAATACCGGTATAATTTCACTGAACTGAATACATTTTGACACAATTTATTACACTCAAAAGGGGCAGTAAAGTCAAAATCAATTAGGGGTCGATCGCAAACTACGCCACGCTTCGCGGGGGGGGGGGCTGAGAATTTGTGACATCACAAATTTATTCCTTTTCCTTAAATCTAAAACTTTCTAATTTTGAAAAATCTTTATTCAATTAATTTTAAAACATTAATTTGAGGTCCAAATTGCTTCAGGTATTTAAGTACCGTGAAACTCAGTTGCTCGCACCTTCTGCGCATATTGAAAAATGATGGAAAAACTGTTGTGGCCAATTTACTTTTACATTCTGCTCGGGGAGGACTTCACTGTTGTAACAGTTTACCAATAATACTAATACTACATCTTAATCCATTATGGGAAAATGTTAAAGAATACAATAAAATCTTAGTTTAGTTATGAAAATTGTATGTATTTTTGAATTTTTTTAGGTGTGACTTAACACTAAGGGGGGGGGGGGCAGGGGGGTTTGTGGTAAGTTGGAAAGGTGGGGGGGGGGGGGGGGGGGAGAGACAGAGCAATCACTCATTTGCAACTGGCAACATTCTATTTAATAAAAATAGTACTAAATATTCATTAGTAACAAGTAGCAGTCATCACTGTAGAGTAGTGCCTAGTCTAAGTAGAAATAACTTAGTAAATGTGTAACTTGTAGGCCTAGCCATCCATCAATCAACATGGACAGGGGCATAGTAAGTAGTAATTATAATAGTAGCCTACGCCTACTTCGCTTAGACGTAGTCGTAGTTTTAGTAGGTCTTAGGTAGGGCATGAAAAAAAAAGATATCCACGTCCACCAGTGTACTAACTAACAAACCAAGTGCCAAGCCCCAACAATTTTAAGTTATTAAATTTGAAGATTTTCAACAACAAAAATGTTAATTACCTGTTTTTATTTAATTCGATTGAAACTTTATGGCTAGTTTTTACTCCAATGGCGTAGAAAGATTATAATAGTAAAGTAGGCCTTGGCATTTACTTCTTTCTTAGAAGTATCCATACGGCTTCCGTTATACTAACCATATATATATCATTTGACACCATGTACAAAATAATCTATAATACTACTTGAAAAAAAAAAAAAATTTTTTTACATTTAATTTTAATTTAGCTAAGATCTGGTATGCAAAGTGACACATTCGGACTTTGATTTTTCTCAACACTTAGAATATAAAACTGATAACATATTTTAATGTGGTTTGTATTATATTGTTTTCGAAAGGTAACGCATCTTTAAGTACATTGTAACATTGTTTTTAATTCCAGCTGAGTTAACAAAAAATAACATTGAACATTGTGATTGTTACTCATCATACTCATGAGTCTCATGTCATTGTCATTGACAATTTAATTAGTGTATATTTTATTTTTTAGATGAAACCTGCAATAATAATGATAAAGTTAATAAAAATAAATTTACGATTTTCTCAGTACAGTGCAGTGTAACCATAACACAAGATCATGTGGATTTAGGTAGGGTTCACGTTAGGTGCTAGTACGAGTAGAGTCAAAGATTTTTTTTTAAAGAAGATTTACACTTAAACTTAAAATCACTCAAGTTATGGGGACTAGAATCGGTAATCACTGGTAAATTTATGCTAAATTTATTTAGGGAAGAATTAACGCTTGAGTTAGGCTAGGAATACTGACTAGGTCAACTTAGTCTTAGTGACTTGACTTAGACTTAGACTTAGCATTTATTTAGGTTAGGTCTAGGTAGAGTTGTAGATATTAGGATTGATTGAAAGTTATTAACCAGGCCAGACTCAAAAAAAAAATTAAGTATTCAAATTTGAAAATTTTGTACCTAATTCATTCTTTCTGTAAGTAGCTAAAACAGCATATTCTCTCCCTTTTCCCTCTCATTTTGCACTACCTTTTTAAAAATAATGTACAGCAACTTTTTTTTACCATGACACCTTTGCCACCATGGCAACCAAGATGGCGGCCTTCGGAAATAAGTGTCGGACCAAACATAAATTTACCAAAAATGGAATCCAGTGAGCAAGCACTTTCTTTTTGAGCTAGGATGATATAGAAAATTTTCAAGATAATTTGTTGGGGTTGGTTATTCCCTGCACCTACTGACTACTGTCCAAGTCTAAAGCAAGGGTGGGCTGCATGCAGGCTGCCACATAAAATATGGCAGCCCTCAGATGTCTGATTTATAACAATTAACAGATTAATTTTCACTCAGTTGACAAAGAAATCAACTTCAGTTTTAAAAAGATACGTGAGTGTATTTATTTTAATATGAGGTGAAATGACAGTACAATAGTCAGAAACTGAGTAGGGACCCAAAAATTACTGAGGAACATCAACAGAAGATTGAAACCCTACTAGAATTATCCAAAAGAGAATCAGCCAGCAACGTTGATATAAACCAGCAATGGGAAAAGATGAAGCAAATAGTTTCAAGTATAACAGAGGAAACGATTGGATTTAAAGCAGCAGTGAAAAGAACAGTATGGTATGACGCAGAATGCAAAGAACTTACAGAACAAAGAAAAAAAGCTCGGCTAATTATGCTGCAAAGGGAAACAAGAAGAACACGACAATTATATAATGAAGCAAGAAGGATGGCCAGCAAAATTTGCAGAAAGAAAAAACGTGCTTGGGAAAAATAAAAAATAGTAGAGATAGAAGAGTTGGCAAAAGAAAGAGATGTGAGGGGAATGTACCTGAAGATATCTTTCTGCAAATTTTGTTGGCCATCCTTCTTGCTTCATTGTATAATTGTCGTATTCTTCTTGTTTCCCTTTGCAGCAAAATTAGCCGAGCTTTGTTTCTTTGTTCTATAAGTTCTTTGCAAGATCCCAAATGTGTGAAAGCACGGATGGAGAATTGATCACAGAGAGCAGTAGAGTACTAGAGAGATGGGCACAACACTTTGAAGGCTTACTGAATGGCTCAGGTGGAGGAACCAATGAGGCAAGGAGGACCGGACCCACTGGTCAACCAACCAACATTAAATGAAATAAAAGATGTAATTTCCACCATGAAAAATAACAAAGCCCCAGGAATAGACCTTATCCCTGCAGAACTCATAAAGCTAGGTGGTAACGAACTGCATAGGCAAATACACGAACTTATAACCAGAATCTGGCAGGAAGAAGAAATGTCAACTGAATGGGACACAGCACTCATAATCCCAATCTACAAAAAAGGATCTAAGTGGATCTGCTCAAACTATAGAGGTATATCCCTTCTTAATGTAATGTACAAAATCCTCACAAAACTTATAGCCAGAAAATTGGAAAAAGTATAGTGAACAGATCCTAGGGGACTATCAATGTGGATTCCGGCAGAATAGGTCAACCACGGATCATATTTTTAGTATAAGATGTCTCCTGGAGAAATGCTACGAATATAACTTCGACATACACCAACTTTATGTGGATTACAAAACAGCATACGATAGCGTAAACAGGAATTACTTATACAATGCTCTACAAGAACTTGGAGTCCCTAACAAGCTTACTCGGCTCATAAATATGACAATGGCCAACTCCAAAAGTAGAATCAAGGTACAGGGAGAATAATCTAGGGAGTTCCTAGTTAATCGGGGCCTCAGACAAGGAGACTCACTATCATGTATCCTGTTTAACATCACGCTAGAAAAAGTTATTAGAAGCATACACATTAGCACCAGTGGAACCATAACAAACTACTTCCAGAGAGATACTACAGAACAAAGACCATCAGGAACCTTATATAGCCAACCATTGCAGTACCTGGCATATGCAGATGATATAGCACTACTGGGTAGAAACCGTAATGACATAATTAAAGCATTCAGGGAACTTGAAAATGCCTAATTCAAAGCTGGCCTTGATATAAATGAACCGAAGACAAAATATATGATAATGTCAATAAACTCCCACGCTGATAATAACATCAATATAAACAACCACAAATTTGAGAGAGTGGCTGCATTCAAATATCTAGGGGCAACTATAAATGAGCACAATGAGATAATGTCAGAGGTGAAAGAAAGGATAACAGCAGGCAACCGTTGCTTTTTCAGTCTACAAAAGCTACTGGGAAACAAAACAAAAACCTCTCAAGAGGAACAAAGAAGACAATTTACATCACCATCATAAGACCTGTAGTAACGTACGCTAGTGAGACCTGGACCCTCACCAGAAAAGCAGAGAACCTGCACAACACATGGGAGAGGAAAATCCTCTGCAAAATATACAGACCAGTGATAGAAAATGATATCTGGAGAATATGCACAAACCAAGAACTTTACTATTTGTACAAAGAACCACCCATAGACACAATGATAAAAAAAGGCAGAATACGCTGGGCAGGTCATGTTGAAAGGATGCCGGAATGCAGAGCAGCCAAAATTATATACAGGCAGAAACCTAGGGGCAGACGACTCACCGGTCGCCCAAGGATGAGGGGGATTGATGATGTGAAGACAGATTTAAACCAGTTGGGGCTTCGAGCATGGAGACGGAAAGCCATGGATCACTCCGAGTGGAAGGATGTGGTGGAGCAGGCCAGGGCCCTACATGGGCTGTAGTGCCACTGATGATGATGAAATGACATGCAGCCCACAGGCGGTTTATCAAAGTGACCTGCGAAGCCTTTTGAAAGACATCCTCAAACTACAACTGTTGAAAATCCACACATCTTTGAGCTTACCTGGACATCACCAGAAAGAAGGACAGAGAGCCAGTTTTATCACTGGATAGTTGCAGCCATTCCTGCAGGAGGGGCATGTGATGTCTCACCCTGCTATCAGAACTTACCACAACAAATGTTTAGTGTCATTGCTTTAGGACTAAGTGTTTCTGTCAGCGGGCAGACAGCTCAAAAGCTAGTTGTGTACACCCTAACATGCCCAGACCCAGCAATTCTGATTTGTTGTCGAAACATTTTTTGGTGACTCCAATGTGGAGTACGATCCTACTTTAACTAGTTACACAACAAGCTCCTTAATTGTTGGCATTGCACCATAGTCCCAGAAACAGTGTTTCATATGTTAATTTTGTGCCTCAAACTTGACCTTTGGGAGACTAGGACAGCAATCAGGTCCTACATCACATCCAAACTGATTGAGCTTGTTGCCAAAGTGCTAGAAGGGGGCCATAAAGAGAGTTTAAGCTTGGCTCCTCCCAGACTATTGGAAAGTATCAGTGACAACATGAACTTAAACTCAGAAAATCTAGGTTTGGGGACAAAAGAAGACATGTCCTTACATTTTAAAAGTAATGTCCTAAAGCAGATTCAGCATTGAGATGAAAATGCAATATTCATGTATGACTAACAGAGCCATGGTTGAGTTATGGGAGGAAGTCCTGGAATATAGGGAAAAAGACAGAGTAATATATTGGGGAAAAAAAAAGGATTTAAATTGAAGAAAGGCAAATACTAATGTGGAGAATCCTTGACTCCGATTCCACAAGGCGAAAGGAATGGGCAGACAATGCAGCACAAATAAGGAAGTAAAGAACTCATTGGAAAGAAAAAAGAAACTTTCAGAGAAACTAGAGATTGCCACTGAATAAAATATACTGTACTAGATAGACTACACAGCCGGTAAAAGGGCTCAATGGACAGATTTAGGGCCTTCCATAGAGCAGAGGGAAAAGTAAAAAAGTAAATACAGAATCTGCTACGAGATGCCCATAAAATCAGATACCGTGCAATATTTACTGCATTAAATTTGGGACAGAGCAGAAATCCCCAAATTAGTTGAGCAACCTGGAATATTAGAATCAACTTTAAACTGCCAAAAAGGGGGAACTTAATCTGATTGAGTAAAATGGAGAGGCATCGACCTCTTGTCACTCACCATAAATGTCTGCTGCCCCAAATGCTACAGCAAATCACAACAGCCAGGAAGAACATACTTAGCTATGGCAAAGGCGTCTTGCATTTACCACATCTTTGTCATTAGGCACTTCTTAGAGAAGATTCCTGAATGGAATGTACATTGTCTTCATGACAGCTTTTGACGGCACTACACAAGGAGTCATTGACTATAGA